TTTCCCCCCCCCCCCCCCCTTTTGCTGTGGGGAGCCCTCTGCGCCTACAGGGGCCCCAGGCTCCTCGCTGCTGATGGCCTGGTCGGGCCACCTGCCTTTGCCAGGAGAGGGGTCCTCGCAGGGTGCCACAGCCCTTAGCAAGGTCGCTCTCTGGCCNNGCGTGCAGCCAAGTGCTCAACCAGAAGGCCGTCGACACGGCAGACACCTGGGTGGATGACTTGTCGGTGGACTTCTGCGGGACCAACCGAGGAAGGCCTGGAAGTCTCTTTCAAGAAGACCACCTGGATTGCCTCCAGCCCCGAAGTGGAGGCCGCGTTAAAAAAGCAGGCCAAAGACAGTCCGGTCCAAGTGTCGACGGTAGCTAAGGACTTGGGGGTGGCCAACGCGGCTGGCAGAGCTCGGAGGGTGCAAGTCCAGGCAAAGCGCCTTCGCAAAGGGGCCGCGCGTGGCTGCAAGCTGCACTCCCTCAAGGTTGCCAGGACAGCGCACAGGGTGCGCGTCTCAAAAATGGGATGCCTCTCCGCTTCCATCTGGGGGCACCAGGGGCTTGGCCTCAGCCCAAAGCAGTTGAGGGGTCCCCGCACGCACGCGGCCCAGGCGGGCAGGAGGCAGAAGCTTGGCAGCGTCGACGTTGTCTTTAGCCTAGGGGAGGGCAATTGCTGTGACCCCTTGCGCACCGTTGTCTTGCAGCACTGGCGGACCCTCCACAGGCTCCTCTTCGTCAAAGAGCTCCCTGACAAGTACCAGCGGCTATGGGAGCTCACCTGGAGCAAGCTTGCCAGGGCCCCCAAGCGTTGGGCCTTGGTCAAAGGCCCTGTTGCGGCAATGATAGCGTACCTGCAGGACCATGGCGTGAATGCTAGCAATGTGCAGGAGTGGAAGTTCCCGCCAGGGTCCTTGGGAGGCACGGGCCTCTGGAACTTCGGTGAGGCCATCACCATGCAGCCAGGGCCCTCTCTGGCTTTTCGCGTCGAGGAAGGCCTAAGCAGGCTGCTCCAGCACGCGGCCAATCAGCGCATTGCTAAACAGGATGCGGGAGATGGGGCGGCTGACGGCATTGACTGGACTGTGCCTAAGCCGCAGACTAAGCAGCCTGGCCAACTCGTCGGGCTCCGCGCTGTGTGGCAGGGCGCCTTTTTCACTACTACCAAGGGCGCGAGGCGTCAATGCCCCCTGTGCAAGAAACCAGCAGGGCTGCGACACGTCATCCTCGAGTGCCAGTGGTGGCAAGGACGTGGGTCTTCCCCTCCGCCCCACTGGACAAAGCTCCAAGCCCAATGGCCTGCTGAGTCCTTGTGGGTCAGAGGCCTCCCGCCGCTAGCTTACACCGAGGCGCCGAGCCTCAACAGCGAGCAAGCGCGTCCCCAGATGTCGGGGATCTGGTCCTCGGCGCTGAAGGTAGCTGCGGGGTCTTTGGTTTTCGGTACTGACGCTACTGGCACCTCCAAAGACCCCCGCACAAGGGTAGTCGCGGCCGCTGTGGTGGCCTGTTCCCGCCACGAAGGTGAGGTTGGCCGCATCACCCCCAGGTCTTGCCGGCTGGGTGCAGCGTCGTCCAGGGCGAAGCTTTCGCTCTGGCACTCCTCCTCAGGCACACCACCGGGTTGATTGATGTCACCGCCGACTGCAAGCCGGCCATTTTGCAGGCGCAAAGCTCCGGTTTCAAGGCGGCCCACGCCAACATCTGGGAGGAGGCCTGGGAGGAAAGGCAGCGCCTCTCCATCACCTGGCATCCCTCGCATCGGGAGCCAGCTGAGCACCTGGAGCGTTATGGGGATCCGCGCCACTGGCGGGTCAAGATAAATGACCTCGCGGACCAGGCCTGCAAGGCAGCGGCAGCTGCGGTTGCACGAGGCCCAAGTTGCGCAGGTCGACGAGCTTGTGGAAGAGGTGTCCCTCTTCCTGGCAAAGCGCGCGTGGCTTCTGCTCGCAGGCTCGGAGGCCCCTCCTCTGGACCTCAAGCCCCGCAACGCCCCGCGCGCCAACCTGCCGCCAAAGCCACGTGCGCAACAGACCTCCGCGCCTCGCCCTCCTCAGAGGCAGAACCGCCCAGGCCCAGGGGGGGGGTCTGAATAAAAAGCAAAGGTTGGAGCAGCTGTTGGCCGGCGAGCATTCTCATGGGCACAGGTTCGCATGGTCCCACACCAACCCCAACAACCACTCCCTCAAGTGCGAGGTGTGCACGCTGTTTATTCAACAGACCCACGCCCCTGAGATCTTCAGCAGGCTGGAGGCAATGCCCTGCGCGCATAGGCCCTTGCCTGACATCAGCCACTACGGCCTCCACCCTTCGCACTCCTTTTACTGCATGGGCGCGGTGCTGCTATGCACAAAGTGCTTTGCGGTTCACAAACCGGGTCAGGTCAACTTGACCCAAGTGGCAAAAGACCACTGCGAAGGTGCCAGCAGGGCGCACAAAAGGAGGCGGTCTTACTGGGCGCAGAGGTACCTCAAAGAAACGGCTGTACCGAGCTTCCTCTTTGGCTCCGCGCCTGGGGCCCCAGCCCGGGAAGCGAGTAGGGCACAGCCCACTCCTGGTACCGCGGCCCACTTGCAAGTGTTACCTGTTACCGTCAACTCCTGCCAGCCCAGTGGAGCCGTTAGCAGGTTGTGGCCCCCACACCTGCACGGCCAAGGACCCCACTGACGGGAGCAGAGAAAAACCCGGTTCTGGTGCCGAGCCACGCCTGCAGGGAGCCCTGTCATCTCCTGCCCACCAGGTAGAGCCGTTAGCAGATAGTGGTCCCCACACCTGCACGGCCATAGACCCTACTGACTGGAGCCACACCCGCAGAGAGAGCGCACAAAGTCCGAAAGCGGGGGGGCAGGGTAGCCGGCAACCCTTTCCTTGGGCGCGCCGCACTGCAAGGAAGAAAGCAGGGGCTACTCCAGCAGCCCCTTCCTCAGCAGGTAGCAGGGCATGAGGCGCCGGAGTCGACAGGAGACACCCAGGCCCCGCTGACAGCTTCAGGTAGCACTACTAGCTCCTCCGACACGGAGGAGTCGGAGGTTTAAAGAGGAGTCCTCCAGCACCGACTCCTCTCCTGACCCTGAGGCCGTCCCCACTGCGCCTGGACAAAAGCCCGAAAGTGGCCTGGGCCAGGCCGAGGTTGTGGTCACCACACCTCCTGCTAGCCCAGCGCAAGCGCCGCCACAGTGCCCTCTAGCGGCACTAGCAGGTGACCAAGGCCTCGCAACAGGCGCAACTGACAGGGCACTGAGCCCCACGAGCCCTGCGGACAACCTGGGTGCCGAAGCAGCAGCCCCTGCAGTAGAGCCTGCTCCGGAGGCTGCCACCGAGCCGGCAGCGGAGCAGGGTGCTGCGACGCCTGCGAGGCGTGCCCTGAACCGGAGAACCACGCCTGACAGGCTGGACGTCTCCTGCCAGGTCGGATCGCACCTCGTGGTCTCCGCATGGCTATGAATGCCACCCAGACGATCGCTGCCGTGGTCTCCAAGGGCGCGAGAGGGCTGATGCACCAAGGCTGGAGCACGCTTCGCTCCACTCCTCGCCTAGTGTGGCCCTGGCGCACACAGCCACCTTGGGCTCCGTGCTGCCAGCAGGCGTGCAAACGCTCCTGCTGCGTGAGGGCACCGGCAGCGCACCTGCTTCTGGCACGGGCCGTGAGCGACGGGCGCTGCCCAGTCTTTTCTCACCAGACCAACTCTGGTGCTACTGCTGTGGCATCGGTGTCGCAGAGCCGCTCTTGATGCAGGCCCATGCCATGACAGATCGGCATGTCTGGAATGCCAGGGTGTACGTCAGAAGGCACAGGGAAGGCCACCCTGCTCCGTGAGCAATGGTTGTGGCCCCCACACCAGCCTTCAGGCGTCCACAGGTTGCTGCAGCAGCAGCCTTATACCTGTGCGCTGGTTGTGGCCTCCACACCAGCTACGGAAGTGGCCCCCACTCCGCGTAGGCGTAGGCCACGTAGAGTAGGCAGCTCCGTAGCGGTGTAGTCTTTCGCACAGCCACAGAGCTGTGCGCGCCGCGACCTTTTGTCGCGATGCCGGCGAAATACGCTGAAGGGGCCTGAAACCAGGCCCAATTAAGTGCATGCGACCTTGGCCTACGGGCCCGCGGACTCCAGTTCGCATGCGACGGAACTAGAGAACTTCAGAACAAGGAGCAAGCCGCTCGAAAGAGATTTGGGAATTTCGAAAAAGAGACTAGAGAATTTCGAAAGTGACTAGAGAAATTTGCTAAAGAATTTCAGAACAAAGGGCCAAAAGCTCGAGAGAGACTAGAGAAATTGAAAACAAGGAGCTAACTGCTCGAAAGGGACTGGAGAATTTCAGAAGCAAGAGCAAACCGCTCGAAAGAGACTAGGGAACGCCGGGAAAACCGCAGAAGTTGAAAAACAAGGAGCAAACCGCCGCTGAAAGCAACTAGAGGATTTTAGAACAAGGAAAGGGAATTTCGAAAGACACTAGAGAGTTTGAAAACAAGGAGCAAATCGCTCGAAAGGAACTAGAGAACTTCAGAACAAGGAGCAAGCCGCTTGAAAGAGCTTTGAGCATGTCGAAAAAGACACGAGAATTTGGAGACAGGGAGCGAACCGCTCGAAAGAGACTCGTAAATTTCGACAGTGATTCGAGAAATTGACTAGAAAACTTCAGAACAAGGAGCAAGCCGCTCGAAAAAGAGAAATTTAAAACAAGGAGCAAACCGCTCGGCAGAAACTAGGGAATTTCAGAAGAAGGAGCAAACCGCTCGAAAAAGACTGGAGAATCTCGCAAGACACCAGAGTGGTTGAAAATCTGGAGAACTTCAGAAGAAGGAACACACCACTCGAAAGAGACTTGAGAATTTTGAAAGAGGCTAGATAACTTCAGAAGAAGGAACAAGCCGCTCGGCAAGAACTAGAGAATTTCAGAAAAAGGAGCAGGCCGCTCGAAAAAAACTAGAGAAATGCGAAAGGGACTAAGGAAGATGAAAATATGAAGCAAACCGCTCGAAAGGAACTAGGGAATTTCAGAACAAGGAGCAAACCGCTCGGAAGAGACTAGAGAACTTGAAGACAAGAAGCAAACCGCTCGAAAAGAACTAGAGAATATCACAAGAGGCAGCAAACCTTTCGATACGAAACAGAGAATTTCGAAAGAGACTAGAGACCAGGACAACCGGGAGCAAACCGCTCTAACGGAACTGGGGAAATTCGAAAGAGACTAAAGAAGCTGAAACATTCGAAACAAGGAGCAACCCGCTCGAAAGGAATTTGCGGAATTTCAGAACAAGGAGCAAACTGCTCGAAAGAGACTAGAGAACTTGATAACAAGGAGCAGACCGACCGAGAGGAACTAGAGAATATCAGAACTAGGGGCAAACCGCTCGAAAGAAACTGGGGAATTTCGACAGAGACTTGAGATTTTGAAAACAAGGAGCAAATCGCTCGATAAAAGCTAGGGAATTTCAGAAGAAGGAGCAAACCGCTGAAAAGAGACTAGACAATATCGAAACAGACTAGAGAAATTTGAAAACAAGGAGCAAACCGCTCGAAAAGAATTACAGAATTTCAGAACAAGGAGCAGACGGCTCGAAAATAGCTAGAGAATATCGAGAGAGATTAGAGACATTAAAACCACGCAGCAAACCGCTCGAAAAGACTAGAAAATTTCAGAACAAGGAGCGCGCCGCTCGAAAGGAACTAGAGAATGTCAGAAGCAGGAGCAGACCGCTCGAAAGAGACTAGGGAATCCCGAAAGAAACGTCAGACTTTCAAAACTGGGAGCAAACCGTTCGGAAGGAACTAGGGGATTTCAGAAGAACGAGCAAACCGTTCGAAGGAAACTAGAGAAAATGAAAACAAGGAGCAAACCATTCGAAAAGAATTAAGAAATTTGAGAGGAAGGAGCAAGCCGTTCGAAAGAGACTAGAATTTTCGAAAAAGACCGAAGAAATGGAAAACACGGAGCAAACCGCTCAAAAGAGACTAGACAATGTCGAAAGAGACTTGAGAATGTGAAAACAAAGTTCAAACCGTTGGAAAGGAACTAGAGACTTGAGAATGTGGTAAGCAAGGCTCAAACCGCGCGAAAAGAACTCGAGAATTTTAATAGAAAGGGCAAGCCGCTCGAAAGGAACTAGAGTTTCAGAACAAGGAGCAAACTGCTCGGAAGAGACTAGAGAAATAGAGAAATTGGAAACAAGGAGCAAACCGCTCGAAAGGAAGTAGGGAATTCAGAGCAAGGAGCAAACCATTCCAAATTGACTAGAGGGTTTCTAAAGAGTCTGAAATTTCTTTCGAGATCCCATAGTGTCTTTCGAGCCGTCTGCTCCTGCTTCTGAAATTCTCGAGATCCTTTCGAGCGGTTTGCTCCTTGTTCCGAAATTCTCTCATTTTTTTCAAATGTTTCAGTTTTTCGAGCAGTTTGCTCCTTGTTCTAAAATTCCCTAGTTCGTTTCGAGCGGCTTGCTCCTGCTCCTTCTTTTCAAATTCTCCAGTCTCTTTCGAAATTCTTTGGTCTCCTTCGAGCGGTTTGCTCCTTGTTCGGAAATTCTCTATAGTTTGCTCCTTGTTTTCAGACTCTTTAGTTTCTTTCGAAATTCTCCAGTCTCTTCCGAGCGGGCAGCTCCTTGTTCTGAAATCCCCTAATTCCTTTCGAGCGGTTTGCTCCTTGTTCCGAATTCTCCAGATGCTTCAAGAAGAGGTCCGCTTCATGCTTGCGCAGGTGCTGATTTCAAGCTTTTTAGGTTTTCTGCTTCAAGCTTGTCAGTGGGACCTAATGACCAGATTTTCGAATTTTCTCCTTTCTGCTCGGCACGCTTGCTGCAGTGCAGTATGGCTTTCAAGGACGAGTAAGTTTCAAGCTTTCACCATGGTGGATTCAAGCTTTCTATGTCTTCTGATTCGCGACCTAATGACCAATCTTGCTGAAGTTCTCTTTTCGACTAGGCGTGCTTGCAGCTAATAACCAAGCTTTCTAATTCTCCAGATGCTTCAAGAAGAGGTCCGCTTCATGTTTGCGGAGGTGCTGATTTCAAGCTTTCCAGGTTTTCTGCTTCCAGCTTTTCGGTGGGACATAATGACCAAACTTTCTAATTTTCTCCTTTCTTCTCGGCACGCTTGCTGCAGCGCAGTATGGCTTTCAAGGACGAGTAAGTTTCAAGCTTTCACCATGGTGAATTCAAGCTTTCTGTGTCTTCTGATTCGGCAGTGTCGGCGCCACCCAATAGCCAAACTTTATAAGTTTCTGTTCTAGACAGGGCGTAATTGAAATAGAACGCTTCCGTTTCGGACTCGGCCTTTCCGATTCCAGCCTCTCCGTTTTATGCTTCGGCCCTGCTAGGTATTCCGTTTCGAACCCTCCATATTCTGATTCGAGCCGGGGCGTTCTCCGATTGAACTCTTTGCGTTTTCTGACTCACGTTGTCTGATTCGCGCGTCAGCCTCATATACATATGTATACATATGTAACAAGTGAATCGACTCTATGTGCAATGTTAGACCATGTCATTCCAGGACAAACCGCACATCATGTATCATGTCACGCTATATCATTTCATGTCTTATTATGTCCTGTTCAACTCATTCCCAGTCAAATTCTTTGGCTTCACATCATGTCATGTCACACGACGAGTTGTTTCAGTACATCCTCAGTCCCATGTTAACCCTGTTTCGTGTGACAGGCGTGGTACTTTGGGTATGTTTCGTAGTAATACTTTCACTCTACTCATCGAAGCGTCAACAGGCCGAAACACCAACTAGCGTTGCCAAAACCCACGTTTTAAGCATTTCCCAACTGTAGGTCGAAAAACAAGCAGAGCGTCAACAAATACAACAAGAAGCTTGTTTCATGTGGCAGCCGCGGTAGATTCGAAGTGAATTTGTCTTTCCAAAGGCGCAACAATCCCCCATCAGGAAGTTTGAGGATGACAGCCATTGGGGGCCCGTGCTTGTCTCATCTCCTGGGGTGGCAGGACACGATGCCGGACCGATGCCGGATACTGATCTTGTATGGTGACCTCTTCGTGTGTGTGCATGTGTGTGGTGGCCTTGACTGGGTACTCAGCGCATCAACGCTACCAACGAGGCCGCACCGTATCATCAATTGATGGACGCCTCAATGAGGCGTCGCGGCATTTCTTTGCAGTACGCATAGCGCTGTGATAGACTCTGGGGAATGCTTGTGTTCCAGATACTCGCATCTTGGTGGCAGGCCAAGTGGATCAAAGTATTGCCGGAGCTGGAGCACGTTCGAGCGGTACGTTTCTGGCCAAGCCAATCAAAGGTGTGCAATGTTTCAGGACGACCTGCAATGCTCGCTGTGCCGAAAAAATGTGAGACATCCACAGGCTATCAGCGTGAGTGCTTGCCGTTGTTTGTTGCAGAATCCTTGGTGCCCTTGCTGCAGTCTCTCACGCAGACTTGTGGTACCATCCGAAGTCAATTTGAGTGGGCACAGCTGTTTGACCAGTGCATCTTCTTGCAGCTAGTTTAGAGGTTTAGAGCACCAAGAGCAAAGTGCCATCAGGAAAGCGCATCAGCGACGTAAACTTCTGTTCCGAATGCACACTCCAAAACATTTCTGGGGCCCATTGCACGGCGAATGTTTTGTTGCCCATCTCTTGTTCCGTGATTTGGTCAGCGTATGTAGTGGGATGTTCGTTGCACTGCCGGGTGGTGAAGAAGGCATCAGCCAAAACAGGGAAAGCCAAAGACGTCCGGTATGGAAGACTGACCTGCAGGCTTCGGGCTTGCAAACCGGACCCGCGCGGGCAGCACTTTGCCGGAATTGCAAGTTAGCGAGAATGCACCAAAACATCAGCCGCATTAGATTGACGACACCCTCCGTCACCCACCCAAGGGCCACATGACCTTTCCATGCGGCAGAGGCAGCGGACCGCTTCAAAGTCATCTTTTCCTCCACGGCCCGCTCGGTGCCTGCAACACCTGTCAAAAGCACAAATCCTCCAAGTTTCGACTTACTCTCTGCATCTCATTGGCTGTCAGATGCTCAAATACAGGAAATACGTTTGTAGTGCACCACCTGGCCTTTTCTTTCCAGTGCCCATCAAGCTCATCATGGCTGTTCCGCAATTTCCACGTTGGTCCTTGTGGCCCCGGCCACTAAGTTTGATGCCAGCGCATCACGAGCAAGGGGCCTTCATGATCGGAGCAGGAACCGTGAAACACTACCCCAGCCACAAAGCCACTGAAGCAGGTGGCCGGTGTCGAAGCTGAACGAAGGCGAAATATGCTGCAACACACTTGCATGCTTTGAGGGTTCAATCCACAACAGCCGAGTATGACCATGCGAGAAACGCACGACAACAACATCTTCACAACATGTTCGGCGGTGAGAACAACGTGGAGACATGCAGTTCTAGCACTCACAGGCCTGGTGCCAACGCCGTGAGCCCAGAGCCCTCAACACCGTGCGGGGGGGGGGGGGGGGGGGGAAAGAGCCTTGCCAAGCTGTTCGCCGCTTTCTTTGTCACTCGTCAGGCCGAGAGTAGAAGACAACCACCCAAGGAATCAATGCATCGAAGGCACATGTCCAGGAAACCGCGAGGTCTCAGACATTTCGGTTTGATGCGGTCGGGGATGCTAGCAAGTAGCCCTCGACGTGGTCGTGGCAGGGTTTTAGACACCGCCTTTCAACTGTAGCCAACTCCACTTTTCCAGAGACTCTGCAATGTATTGAGAAGTTGCTGGTCCAGCTGGTCAACCTGCATGAAGCGGAGGTGCACGCGTTACAGCAACAAGTCCATGCGAAGAGTTCCGGCGATGACAAGCAGTTGGACGTCCCTGAGACTCTGGGCACGACAGCCGCAGGAGACGACTACATCTGTCTGCCGATCAGGCGGAGCGAGCAGCTTCTGGAGAAACAGAAATACGTGCCTGGCCAAGGGGCTTTCGGCAGAGTCAAGAAAGGCATCACTGCTCCGAGCCATGCTGTAAATGTGCAGCCGCGTGCGCAGAGCCAGTGTGAACAGAGGCAGTCTGGTTCAGCAATGGCTGAGAAGGCTGATCCGCCCTCTCACATCCCACGTTCGCATGTGAGTAGCCTCTGTCCGCCAGCAGATGAGGTTGCAATTCCGATGAACTGCGAAATCTCTGCGGCGGTGCTGGATGATGTGGCGCCTGTCAAACATGCTGCGCAACTGACCGCGCGACCACACGGCTTCTCCATCTTCAGCTGGACTGCTTACAGCGCGTGAACATGTTTGATGTTCCTATGCGGCGGAGGTAGAACTATGTCTTGGTAGCATCCTTGATTTGAGTGCTCTGTGAGGACTGCTTGCGATGATCGCTCGAAGAACTTCTTCACAGCTGATGTGAACGCAAGGGTTTGTGCCCGCATGGAAGCTTTGTTCCAGACAACGAGGTACACCACCTTGATGATAACGCCCCAGGATCTGCTGCGAGCAGCCAGGTCTGGCATGAAGGAACACCCACGACGTGGTCACTTCATGGACATAAGAATGGCAGACATGGAGGACACCATCTTGGAACTCACGAAGATCTACCAGAAAACGATCAGAACCAACCGAGGCACCATGGCGGCTTCTTCTTGGAGAAGGGGTAGCAACCTCGCTGTCATCTCTTGGAAGCATTTGGTGTCATGCATGTTCATTGAGTCAATGTCATTGAGGAGTTGCACACGCATGCTGAAAAGGAGGATGTGATGCTGAAGCTCTTTATTCTACAGAGTGCTTTCTTGGGAGAAGATATGCCTGCAGCACGCAAGACTCCTCTCATGTTACAGGCCCAGGACAATCGCACGCGCAGCCACCGCTGGCGGGAGTGCGTGAAGAACGAAGAAGTTTGTACCAGAGTAGTGACGATACTGTCTACTGCTGCAATCATTGCCAGTGTCGCAAGTGTGGGAATTGCCATGGACACTGACACGGGCGCCGGAGCAGGATGGGTGGCTTTGGAGGTTGCCTGCGCCTGCATCTTCGTGCTGGAGATTGCCGTGAAGACATGCGTTCTGGGCCCGTGCGTGTACTTCTGCGGACCCGCATGCCACTGGAATCTTTTCGACGTTTTCCTGTCTTCCTTGTCCATACTGGAAGCGATCTTGAGTTCGGCTCTGGGAGAAGGCTCTCGGGATTCCCCTCAAGCCCAAATCATTCATGCGCACTAGTGACACTAGATTCCGGAATGGATGATCAATTCATTTGGAAAGGTCACGCGGTGGTGCAGGCTGTTGCTTGTAGTAGCTTCGCTTGCCTCTGGATCATGGGGCTTCGGGTTGGCAGTGTTTTCGGATCCAGGCATGTCACTCCGCAAGCGAAGCCCCCACCAAGCGAAAGGCAGGCTGTGCCCCCTAAGATTAAGCCATTAAGCCCGGCCACTGCATATCCAAGCGAAGTGAAGTCTCGAGACACTCTAGCGAAAGACCTTCCAGTAGCTGGGACCGGACGGCGGGAACCTACAAGCAGCCAGGTTTTCACAGAGCATCGCATTCGCGAGCGGCGATGGTCCTGCGTTGCTTCCGCATTGCTAGGCCCGACCCGAGTCTCCGAGTCTCATGAGTGTATGTCTGCTGAAGTCTGCCTGGGCCTAGTTCTGACTGCGCTTTTTGTTATAAGCCCCAGGATGGCTCGCTTGGCGAAGCTGCTGCGAATGCCATTGCTGGAAGAGTTGGCGACGATAATCTCAGGCCGGCATGACTTCTTGAAGTTAATTTGTCAAGCACTTTTCAGATGGACTATGTGTGCAATGTGTGTCATAAGTTCTGATCGTGAATGTTGTTTCCCGGTCCTGTTCCACGGTCCTCCCCCCAATTCCCGCGTGAGCAGCTACCGCAGGCTTTCTTATCAGCCTCCGGCCGCTGTTTTGGGTCACGCTGGCGCTCTTCGCAGTGGTTTACTTCCTGGCACTCGTAATGCGCTCGACACTGGAAAGCCTTTCAGGACCGGATCCAAGTGTTTCAACACCGGAGCCTTTTTTTTCAGGATCGGAGCCCGAGGACGTGGAGCTTCAAGATGTCATAGATAGATACTGCGGTAGTGTGATGGATTGCCAGTTTACCGTCTTCCGTTGCATGCTGGGAGACTGTACGACTGCGAAGGGTGCGAACCTGGTGGCGATCTTCAGCAAGGACTTCGGGCCTGCCTTCAATTTCGTGTATTGCTTGGGCATGGTTGTCGTCTTCTTCGGCTTATTCAACGTGATTACTGCAATTTTCGTTGAGGCCACGCTCAAGGGCTTGAAGGAGAGCGACGCTCAGATGAAGTATGCGAGACTGCATGAGTCCAGCTTCGTGGTGGAGAAGATGAGGGCACTGGTGGCCGTCTCTGTGCGTCACATCAAAGAACAGAGGCAAGAACCGAAGCAGCTCTACTCGGATTTCATCCGCACTTTGACGGGGCAGTCATTTGAGTCGCAGGGATGCCACGCCCACGAGGAGGAGATCTTCATGACACAGCAAGAGTTCCTCCGCTTGCTTCGAGCTTCCGAGGTGCGCCAGCTGCTTTGTGACCTGGATGTTCAGGTAGAGCCGCGGCCAGAGGTTTTTGACACCTTCAACGTCGAAGACGACGGCTCTCTCTCCATGTCGGAGCTGATCACGGGCCTCATGCGCTTTCGAGGAGACCTGAACAAGATGGACATCTGTCTTGTGCAAGAAGAGCTAGCCAGATTGCGTCATCAACTTTAGGTGACAGAACGTGGTCCTTTGGACCAAAGAAAGGCCATCATTGCGCCCTTCTGCCCGGAATTACTTGGACAGTCTCCCGGTTTGGAGGCCCAAGAGGACCCAGAGTCCCGGAGCGTTAAGAATGCTTGGGACCTCTGTGCCAAAGGCACACTGTTGGTCCAGTATTTAAACGAAGGGACTCCACAACCTGAGCCCTGCACGGTGAGTGGAGTGCTGGTACTTGGGTGTTTCGAAGGTCTTTTAGTCAGGTTCAGTTCATCTTGCAGATGAGCGCTGCTTTGCCAGTCATGTCAAGGATTGCATACGGCAAATTCGCAGGACACCAAGGCAACTTCGCAGGAAACAAGCAGACCTGGCCTTGATCTTGTTCCTTCGTGTGCGATCCACATGACCCAGCCAGAGCTAGCCCCTAACGCATTAGAACGGCTGTTTTCAGAGGCCACATGGCCCAGTTAAGCGCTCATCCAGGAAGGCTCCACGAATTCCGTCGTTTTCTTATCGTGCTCGCGTGCAGCACCGGTACTCGTAGTCCTGTGCATAGGCATATGCGGTCTAGAATCCTTCGACGACGACAGTTAGGACAGGGTTACGCTTGAAGGCCGAAGTTGCTTATGGACTCTGTCTTGTGGCAGCCTTGCATTGACTTGATGCTTGCATGAGATGTGTACAAAGTCTTATAATAGATGGGCGCACGGATAAAATCTCCGAGTCTGAGCCTTGCCAGAGGCATGTAATTTCCAGGCTTTACTCTGCGCTGCGGGACAAAATGCGCAGCAGGAACAAGCAGAGTCCAATCCCATTGCTCACGACAAAAGTCGCTGTTGCTGTCGCCATCGTCATCCCGGCAGTATGATGTATAAGTCTATAGTGCATGTGGGCGCGATGCAAATGGGTGCTTGTCCAGGAGCTCAGTTGTTGAACAGCCGCTGTAGGCCCTGGACAGTCTCCCGGCCAAGCTTCTTCAAAGGTGCTTGGGACCTCAGTGCTGCCAAAGGCGCACTGGTGGTCCGGTTGTTGCACGAGTGAACCCAATCTGAGCCTTTTTGTGCGAAGGACTCGGGTTCATCTTTCCGACGGATGAGAGCTTCGTTGCCAGTCACGGCAAAGACTGCATACGGTGAATTCGCAGGAACTCGAGGCAACGTCGCAGGAAGCGGAAACTGCATTGAAGGCAGCACACGGCAACGTGAACAAGAGTGAGCGGCGGCGTTAACGCCCTTCGAGTTTTCACTTGCCATGTCTTCGACACGCATTAGCTCCACCACTTCTGTCAACAGAACGTTTCCATGCATTTCATTCAGCCGCGTCTTGATATTGTCCGTAGCTGTAGATTCAAGTTTCCGGCACTGCGCAGACAGATGTCGTGGAACTGTCGGGAGCAAGGGTGGCGCTGCATTGGTCGCTTCGCAGCGTTTCAGCTCGGGTCTTGACCGTCCGTGCAGCTTCTGAACTGGAACGCTCAGGCCAACCAAGTCTTCCCCATTGCAAGCCCCCGAATTCCGATATGTACCTGTACCCGCAGTGAAGGTCTCAGGACCCTGATGCCTAAGTCACGGAACTTGCTCCGGGCCCAAGTTCGTGCCGCATGAATGCGATTGGCGAAGCCATGGTCTCAGTCGAGAATCCGTATAGTTCAGTTGGAGTAAGACAGCCCGCAACAAATCTGAGCCTGGTGTCGGTCTGGACTGTGAGGTGGCTTGCGATTCCTGCGAGTCGTTCCGCAAAACCTGGGTTGCGATCCCAGCCTCCCTATCAAGGGAATGCTTGAGTCATGCCGGTCCGTGGACGCGTCAGCCACGAGCTGACAGCATTAACGTGGCTTGCAGCTAGCATTGGCTCGCCTTTGGGGTGCTGAAACCCGAGGCTTGGGAGGCGGCGGTTCTCCAGAGATGTGCGCCTGCGAGAGTCTGGGCAGAGCCGTGGCCTCTGAGAGCTTTCGTGCACCTTTCCTCTCTCTCTCTCTCTGCGCCATGGTCCGACGAAGGCCTCGGAAGCCGCAGCGCGGTGGCCTCCGCCGTCGCCGCTCTGCGCCGGACCGCCCGTCGGGGACCTGCCAGTTTTGGGTCCCGTCGCCGGCCCGCCTTCTTTGGCTGTTTCCAGGCTGGGAGCTGGCGCTGAAGCTTCTGGGAGAGATGCCGGAGGAGATGGGCCTGTCAGCATCCGTCGTGCTCCGCTGCGCCTGCGCGCCTGCCCTCCCCAACTCCTGCGCAGGCATCGCTTCAGCCCGACACCGTGAACTTCAACGTCGGCCCCTCCGGTCCTAGCGCCATCGCCCCTCGCTTCGTGTGCGTCGTGGGGTCTGCCAGGCGACGCTCCTGGTGTGCGCCTCCGCTTCCGCTTGGAACACTGCAGTGGCCTTACTCGGGGCCATGCCCAGCAAGGAGGCGGAAGGGCGCGGACTTTGGGATGTCACGGTGAGAGTTGGGGGACGGCGCTGGCCGGCAGGTGCTGCCCGACACAAGGAGCCATGCACTCGGTGCTAGGCTCCGGTCTATGCCACATCATTGCATGTGCCTCCTCTACCAAGGCTACAACTCTGTGCTCGCTGCTTTGGATCATGCAGCCAGCGGGCTTAGCGGGCTGCAGCGAAGCGCCGCAAGAAGACAGTACTCAGATTCGATGGCTCGGTCCCTGACACAGGCAGAGGCTGGACAGGCTGTGCCAGGGACTGAGATCGCCATGTGGCCTCACTGGCCTCACGTCGCAGTGTTTTTCCCGGGAAATTCAAGGCAGTGCATGGCGCAGATGCGTCTCTTACGAGTGCCACCAGATGCTGCGAGAGCGGTCCTCAGTTCTTTCCCTCGAGCACTCTCTCAGCTCAGGGCCAGGAGGAGCATGAAAGTGCGGAGCGAGAAGCCTTTTTGATGTTTTGACGACTTTGGCAACTCTTCTCCGCTTCCAGGCTACAGCAGTCTTATGAGTGCCCTGACACGATCTGGCGAGTGGCGGGCAGCGCCACTGCCTCGCAGGGCCTTTCGCAGTGACTGTCTTCACAGAAGTGGCTGGCATTGTGCAGAGTTCGGCCGCGGCATGTTATGAAGCGCCCAAGGATTCAGGTCTTCGCTGAGATGAGGGTCTGCAACTCAGCAACTCCAAGCGAAGGCTGTCAACGTCTCATCACACTGCAGCGCAGAGAGCGTGCCTCGAAAAAAACAGCTTGCTGTTCTTCGGCGGAAGCAGCTACCCACGTTTGCTTTCTGATTCTCCAGGGGATCTCACGGAAAAGCGTGGTCATGGCGAGCAATGGAGACCATGTTTATTGTTACTTTCCTTGTTGCTGTTCGTGTCGGAATTCTCGTAGGTTATGTGTTAGCCAGTGTTGGTTTTTGTTTGGTGCAGTCTCTAGTTGTTTGTGAGATTGCGTACTTTATGTTAGTGCTTTTTCTGAATGCTTTGGGCATTTTGCCGGAGACGTCGGGAATGAAGTCGGGATATTTCGGAACACTTCGGTTTGGCCAGTTTTTGGACTGACTGCAATCGTTGCAGAGTTTCCTACATTCTCCTTAGTTTTGCATGGTCAGCTCCCGCGAAGCCACCATCGAACTCAACGCACTCAGCGAATGATTGATGTGGGGTGCAGGGCTGAGTGCAGAGAATATCTGAACAGCAGAGTCTGCAGACAGCCTGCTGAACATTGAACAACCGCCCTGTTAAGATTGTCGGTAGTGGCATTTCTGGCAGGCACTCTACTGGGGGACTTCCATTGTATGCACGGCTGTCACTGCGCGAGCGTCACTAGAATCCTCCGCAAGCAGGTGCAACGAGATGCGGTCTGCTTCAGTGTTGCCATGGGTGCCTGCGAGAAGGCGCTGGCGAAACGCGCAGCGAAGCTCTGGGTCCCGCCCCAGTTTTCTCCCTTTTTTTTGGCGCGTGGGGCGAGGCCAGCGAATGGGCCAAGGCCCTGGAGCTCTTCCAGGCCCGGGCCGCGCCGGGCCGGGCCCCGAAAGTTCCTCTTGGGCCCAAGGCACCGGAAAAGAGCAGGGCCTCGCATCGCAGGCGCTGGCCCAGCAACGGCTCCGGCACGATGCCGTGACCTTCGGCAATGCCGTGTGTGCCTGGGCCCCATGTCATATACCGCGAACGGTAAGGCGCCGGCTCGAGAGAAAGATTGTAAAAAACAAGGCAATGACCAAAGGGGGCCACTGGCTGGGCGTTTTGGAGCTCCTCCAGTGCATGCAGAGCGAGGCGCTGGTGCGGCCGCGCCTCGCGGAAGTGCAAGTTCCCCTTCCTTCGCTGCCGAAGGCGGTGAAGCTGGACACCGTGGTGTGCAACAGCGCTCTTACAGCTTGTGCGAACCACTCGCGCTGGCAGGCACATGTAGTTAGCTTTGGGGCAACATTATGCTCTTTCCCACTGCAGGATGCCTTGCACTTGGCAGAAGCCCCAGTTGCAGAAGCAGACTTCAGATTTAGTGGGAGTGGGATGCTCGGGAGGTCAGCATTATGACCCAGCTCAAACTGGCAAAAACCACTGCCACCTGCAACATGGTTAGCACTTGGCTTGCGTCACACTTGCCACCGACTTCAGAGTGACAGTGTTACTCCTTGTAAAGGTAATGCCACGATTCGATCCCTCGAGAAAGCTGGGGCACCCCTGGCATGGCAGCATGGCCCCCAAAAGCTGGTCGATAAGAAGCAAAGAGGCTGATGGATGTTCAGTCCTTTTCTTGTCCGGGATCCGACACTTTTCATGTGTGACCTTCGCAGAGATCTCCGTGCCAGGAGCACCGTCGAGCCGTGGAGGTTCTGTTGCACGAGTTTGCATCAGAGGACGCCGGGCCGCGGAGCAGCGGTGTCGAGTGAGAAATTTTCTGTGATGTTCGGCGTAGAGCCGCAAGTACCACAGCCACAAGAAGGCTTGACTTGTCAGGATCCTCTGGATCAGGGGTTTGCGCGCCCCAGCATGTTCAGGACAGCCCCTCCTTTCTCCCTGTGCCTGTGCCCACACCCGTGTTCTTGATCACGTTCCTTTCCCAAGCTGTCGGGCAGCGAGCAGCTGCAAAGCGCAGTGCCACGAGAGGGAGTCTACGTAGTCAGCGCAGGGGTCGTGCTATGCATCGTGCTCGGGGTACCCTGCGGGGGTTGCGCCCGTGGAGCATGGTGCGGCAACGTTAGACGGGCGCCGCGCTGTGCTGTGTATAGGGGTGGCGTAAAGGCTTAAGCTTCTCAGCTCGCGAGGAGCACGCGGCCGGTGAAGGTCACCGCGGCGCTGAAGGAGGCGCTGGCTGAGCGCCTGGAGCGGGCCTTGAGGCCAGCCTTGGCGGCTTGGCGGTGCAGGCATCGGAGCCTCTGAGCTCGAGTGCGAAGCGCTTCGAGCCAGGCCGGGCGACTACCGAGCAGAGAGCCGTCGCTCGGAGCTCAGCTCGCAGCTCACCGCCGTGCAGCGTTGGGGCACGGGCCCTGAGGTGCAGCGGAGCCGCCGGAGCCACCGCGCCCTGTGGTGGCAGTGGAGGCCCTGGAAATCCGATGACGTGAAGTCGAGTCGAGGCTTCGCTGAAAACGAGCTTCGCAGGCAGCGGCCTTCGGGCCCGGTCCTGCCCCGGCAAGCGAGTGGTGCACGATCCGGGCCCAGGAGGCGCCTCCTTTTCCACGCCCGTTCCCACAGCAGAGTCTTCGCACGCGTCCGCAGGCTTTCGACGCTGTCCTGAAGCACCTCCGCCCTACCACGGAAGCTGCACTTCAAGAGGTGCAGCTGCAAGGGGAATCGTTCTGGGATGCGTTCATGATGCGCCAGTTCTTGCAACTCCGGGAGGCTCAAGCTCTGGCACAAAAGTTGGAGGCGACCGTGCCCGCACACTATGTGGACGTCAAGGCGGAAGGGGTTTCACTGCGATATGAAGTCCTCGGATGCCCGGCGAAACTCTCGTCGGCTCCGCTGGAAGAGTTTCGGGGAGCTCTGAAGTTGCAGTTGAAACGTGGCATCTCACGCCGCTCTGCAGCGCTGTGCAACAAGGTGATGGTCTACGGATCCGTGACCGGCCGCTTCGCGGCCCAGGACGCAGATGCCGCCGGGTGCTCGGCGCAGGGGCGATTCGGCCCCAATGCAACAGCATACATATGATATCTGATATCTGCGATCGCGTTCCCAGGACTTTACTGTCCTCCTGCCCTGGGACGAAGCGGACTCTGGGGCCTTGCGAGCCTTCCAGCAGCGCGCCGCAACCTCAGCCGTGATGCTTCGAGCACCGCAGTGGCCGCAGTGGAAGCGCTGGGTTCGGAAGGTTCTGGTGGAACTGAGGAGAGAGCCCGGGCCCCAACAGAGAGCTCTCCGAGAAGCCCAGAGGGTACTCCTTTCTTGCGGAGACGCGCCGCAGAGACGCTCTGAGGCTCCTGGCACGAGGGTGGCACGTCTCGACGGTGGGCCTGGGCGGGCGGGCGCTGGGCTCAGCAGATGGGAGCCAGGAGGTTCTCTTCACAGATTAAACAATTAGGAAAATGCCGCAAGCATGCGTCATACGAGCCATACGCAAGCATGCAGACTCACCCTTGGTCATTGCTCCCAACCCCCGCCGGTGCTTAGCCTTGGGGTGCATCCTGGCGACGAGGTGCCGGTGCTGACTTTCCACTGGGGTCCGGGCTTGAGCCGGACTGCCGATGCTGGGAGTCCCAGAGGACAAACACTGCTTCCCACCGCCTGCAGATGCATGCAGCCATTGAGGTCACTGTCAGAAATTACCTCGGCCTCCACAAGAGCGCGCTTCTTCGAGAGCAGCTTGTTTGCGCCAGTTTGTGTTCTCCTGTTGCCGGGTGGACCGGACCTTACCTGCTTTCTTGCTTGGCTGGCTACCCACCTGCCTGCTTTCGCAGCAACTAATTTCGCTACCTACCTAGGCAGCCACTTACCTACCTGTCTGTGTACCGACTTACCTACCTACCTACTTACCTGCCTACTTACCTCGGGCACTGTGTTTTGACTGCAGCTCTGTCAAGTTTCGGCGAGTGCGGACCTCGCTTTGAACTCTTTGGAGGGTGACGCAGGACTGCACCCCGGCACTCTCTGACATCGAAACTGATGCAAGGTGCCCTTCTTACCTAGCTACCTATCTTTTTATCTCTCCACTTATCTGCTTATTTGCTAGCTCTCAGCCTTGACCAACCCTTGCTGCACATTGGGAGGGTTGGTCTGAGCTCGCTTCAGCCTGAGCTTGGCTCGCGACACTGTTGCAGCGACCTTGCGTGTAGTATCGGCACGACGAGGAGAGTGTTCCCCGTCCCCAGATGACCAAGCGCGAAGTGATGGCTGATTTAGTTTGGAACCAGTCTTTTTTTTGTGCAACTTTTCGGTATTCCGAGGTATTTCGGGTGTTCTTGTGTTTGTATTTCTGGTTCATTTCATTTACTTTTAGCTGCTTTTTGTTGTGTATTTGTTTTTTGCTTCCATCTTCTTGCCGTCTTTGCTTGTGTGGTGCTTGCACTCCACATGATGCGAGCGCTTGCACAGACATGCCCAAGCTTCGACTGGTGTTGTTGCGACGGCTGGCGGCGCAGGGCTTTTCGGAAGGCCGACACTTCTGTGGAATTCGGTGGAGGGTGCAACGCGCCTGACAGGGCGATGATGTGCGGCTTCTGCTGCTGCGGCAGCTGTTGTTTGTGCAGCATTTCCAGAAAAGAGGATAGGCAAGTGCTTCCGTTCTGCCTTGTGATGTTTCTCGCTATTAGCATGCTTTCGAAAGGGGTTGCTCGTGTTTTATCTTATCTTCGGATGCGCCACGAAACGCTCTAGGTGCACATCTCAAAGTTGTTCGTGGTCTATGGTTTGCGGGATGCGCCACGAAAAGCTGAAATCCAGAATGGCAGCAAGCCTGCCGCCATGTACGATCGCTCTAAGCGGCCTTGCCAGTCATTAGCATGAGAATGCATGACAGTTGGCAAGGCAGCTCTGCAGGTCCTCAATGCGCAAGCTAGCAATGGATCTAGCAATGCCCCCAGAACAACAACAAGAGGTAGCATAAGTAGGAGCTCAGCAGCAGCGACTGCTCACAGTGGCGTGGACAACTATCTGACGAGACACCCAGGAGGAGGAGGAGCAGGAGGAGCCACGTCGTTCTGACGGTCTTCCCACGTTCTCCAAAGCTCGTTCGCGGCAAAAAGGCGCTTGATACGTTGAACACTTCGACTCTTATGTATGTGCGTGTGCGCTTGAGCCAAGGTATTCCTTGCTGGATGAGCGCCTCTGCGATCTGGTGGTTGCCGTCAAGCGCCCGGAGCTTGGGGGCCAGTTTGATGAAACACCACTGGGGTCCCTAAACGCGCAGAGACCTCCCAGGCTGGGCTGAGCTGCGAGGCCTGAGCGGTCAGACTAGGCCAGAAGAGCGGCCTTTGAAGGGATGTTTCAGGGGACAGCTGCCCTCTCCCCGAAACCGCAAAACCCTAAACCCTAAACCCCCCAAACCCCTATAAAGCCTATATAAGCCTATAAACCCTAAACCCCCAAACCCCTAAACCCTTTTTGAATTTATCAACACCAAACCCTACCTTTGCCGCTCTGCGCAGCGAACCCAGTCGCCAGGGGCTACCCGGGCGGCTACTCCTGGAGCCTCCTGGCCCTCTCCTTTGCTCAGAGGGCCGCTCCGCCCCTGGTGCCTTCGCTGCAGGCCCAAGGGTAAAACATGTACCATGTAGTTATTCCCCAAACAGCTTTAGCCGAAGGGTTCTTGATTTGCTCAATAGAAAAGGATTCTCTAACGCTCATTTGGATTTCGCACGGCACTACTCTAAAAACCGCTACTCATTTGTCTCCCACTTGTCTCCCATTTGTCTCCCACTTGTCTCCCACTTGTCACCCACTTGTCTCCCACTTGTC